GGTACTCTATTTTGCACGTATGCGTGACAACGACGTCCAGTGGAAGCGGCGGCATGAATCACGGCTCACATAGCCTGGGCCTCCGTGTCACAGACGCCATTATACACCACCTGGTCGACGCCTACACTTAACCGGGATATGAACACAACGAAAGAATAGGGGCAGCAGCCCTGATCCCAGCTAACGGTCCGGGCCTGCACAAAATCATCTACAAGGATTGCAGACCAATAAGTATTTAATCGTCCAGCGCCTTTACCGTACCGCAGTAGACGATTCATGAAACACCGACTTTGATTTTGAGCTACAAACTGCCAGGATTATGTTTGCTGTTGCTTTAGTTTACGAAATTGAATGTCCCTTGTAAAGTTTTAGAGCGTAACCATTGAGTATTTACTGCGAAATAATTGGTACTGCTCAAAGTAAACGTGTGCATTGCAGGTGGTTGCAAGCGATGGCAACCAAACTGATGGATTTGTAAAGCGGAACAGACATCCACGTTAGGTTGGAGGATATAAGGACAAAAATAAACGGATTTTAAAGGTGCTGTTGGCCTGGGAGAAATGCAGGCTGAATGATGGTGGCAAATAAGTTAACAGTGATCATTCAGTTTTTTCTCCGCCCGTAAGATTCCATACGTGCATTAAACAGTGAGCTAAGTATACGGAGTACTGAAAAAAAAGCATTGTATGTTTTTACTGATTCTGATTTATCTCACCGTCAACAGGATTTTGTTTCCAAGTAAAGAGAAAATGGTCGATATGGAATCGGAGCGAGTCCTGCCGACCCAAAGTTTACTCGACTTGTATAATAGAACTGCAGGATATCGTTGGTATAGGCTAACGTAAATGAATATGAATGAATCTAGGTGTTTCGCCGATCTAGTCAAGAAACAATTAAGTTCCGCTTTGCCAAGGACGGCTAACAAGCCAGAAATGGCCATTCCGGTCTCTCTTTGCTTTGTCGGATCTACTTCATCGTAAATGAATATGTCTAGATTCCTTCAAAGCTGCCCAAAATGTCTAGGAAGCATCAATAATCCGTTGTTAGTTAGTACCAGGGGTAAACAAACGAATATCATCAGAATTCAGAAGACAAAGGATGATCTATTCTAAAATCAAACTGAGGCCAACGAAATTGATTAGACAGCGCTAACTTTTACACGAACTGGGAGACCTCGTTGATTCGAAGCCACACAACTGCAAAATTATGAAGCTAAGTGATATATTTTTCATGAAAACAAAATGCTTCGCAAGGATCACCTCAGTTTGCCTTGATTCTGCAAGCTCTCCGGTGAACATAGCCTTGAAGTATGGAGATGATGCCGCAAGTACAAGCCGATGGGCGAGGATTCGCTTGGGCTCAACCACAAGGACAACATCACATAATTCCTGACATTTGCGCAAGTGATTCATCGAGTCTAATGAGCTACGGGAATGCCGATCCGAGGAGTAACAAAGGCGGTGCTGGTTGGCTGATGAGCCGCTAGAGTGCATTTTTCGGCGAACAGAGCCAGACCTTGAATGAGCCTCAAACTCGACGGAGTCGGGAAGAAAGGATTGTCTGAAACGTTCAAAAAGATGGTGACCGGGGGACAGCGCACAAGGAGTCGATGAAGTGAGGTCCAACTGCCCTGAGGGAGTACTTTCATTTACTCTGTGCAAATGCACAGATATTTCGCCGAGTGATGAAGCGAAAGACGATGACATCAAACAATCTGTATGCGATGAGCTTGTCAGAAGATTTATATCAGCTGTGACAGAAGAGAACATCTGATCGCGCATAGGACTGGACTGATTTGGATTGTTCGATGAACGGGGTGACATGAGCGACATCCGACTTGCAGTGCCCGAGGCTGACTGTGGGCTGTTTGAGGACGACTCTCTTGCAGCATTTGTAGGAATATCGAGCTCCATCGGGAAGTAAGGCATCATAATGTACGCAAGAGATTGGGGACAGACAAGCTGTCGCTAAATTTCTAAGTGTATATCATTAGCCCCGCAACTGCGGCCAGCGCATCCTGTGGCACACCTATCTCATAAAATGGCGCTCTAGTTCAATCAATTCGGCTCCCGTCTCAGTTTTAACGTTCTGTGAGGTAGTCGCGTACCGGAATGCTTTTGTGCCTGTGAGAGAATTTGCGAGAATTTTTATTAGTTATTTTGGACCCTATACATTTAGCTCGGAGTATTTAATAAGAAGCATAACCTACGAATGAAAAGAGACCAGAAATTCAGTAGCGTAATTGCTCTAAAATTCTGCTGAAATAAGTTTTGTTTGTATTCAATAAACTCAGTGAACGTTAGTAAGCACGTTCACAAGGTAAAACTTATTCATTTTATCGACTAAGCTGTTTGAACTCTATGGGAAAAATGGCTTGACTTGTTGAAATTGAGTGCACGTGTAGGAATATAAATCTCGCAAGCTCTCTGAGAAAATTCTTCCGAGAACTAAGCTTGTAACACTGTTATAATCCGTATCAGACATTTTATCTAATTTTGCAAATGCTCTTCTCGGTTTTCAGTTTAGCATACTTAGAATAACGTGGAAAAGTTGGGCCTTTTTTGGAGCTGGACAAACCGATTTCAAACGCTCAAACATCCGTCCACTTCCTGCACTTAGTCCTTTTTCGCAAAATCTTATTTCGCTGATCACTATCGGGCCTACAGTGATTACCATTGTGTAGAATGTGACGTAAAAAATGTCACAGGATGAATTAAAGTATATTGGACTGATGCTACAGAGAAAACTTCGATGGCTGAATGTTCCCTTCTAGCTATTTGTGACGTGTCACTAACAGGCCATCAACTCACATGGTTCTGTTACCTGCATGCAGTTGACGTGGTGAAAAGACGCATATCTCAATTTACTTTCTTCGGATTTTGTACAATTGCTTCTTGAACACACGACCGATCCCATAAGATTATTTTTCCTTGTAAAATAATGGTATGTTCAGTTGTGTTGGCGTTTGCGTAGGAAACTTAAAAACTTGGCCACTAATAAATTTCATTGATTTCTCAGATAAGGCGAGAAATGCTGCAATGAATACCCTATATTTTGAATAATAATAACTTTTTCTCTCAGTTAAATACTATAAGCTGGAGTGTGATACAAAGACAGCGGGAGATGATACATCGCTTAGCATGCATAACTAGATCCACTACTGCCCCAAGGAGCTGTTTTGCAGGCGGGTGTTGGAGCAGACTGGCGCAACATATATAACGCTCCTTTTTTCGACATTCACCACGTTCGTATTGTAAGACAGAGTTTATGTGGCTGTAAATGGCTATGAATGTTAGGATGACTTGAAATCAATCGCGTATCAGTGCCTCGTGGTTGTTTTTGTCCCGAAACTTATATGGACTCGTTTGGGAAGTTTCGCCACGGGTCTCTTACTGCACCTTATCAACCGGGAATTATTGTACATAAATCTCAACCTAGTCAATCGGGTAGAAGTTATTTATTTTTATTTGATTACATTCTCATTCGTTTGGACCTTTAAACTTTGGCCCCCGTTTGGAATTTGGCATTTATATTTGTTAGCGCTAGGAAGGTCCTATCAGAAAGAGCTTTCAGGAGACGAATGCGAACCTTACCGACCTTAGTACCTAGCTTTCGGTGCCTACATTGTTTAGGCCCTTAGCCTAACCCCTGTTTGTTTAAATTTACTAACAAATATTATTTTCGTTTTAACGCAAGCCGCTGAAAAATACAGTTTCGATTTGTACGACGTGCTGACTTCTCGCACACTTTGCTTACACGACTGCACTTCTCAAGATATTTCCACCTCACCGGCCGCTGTTTTCTTCGCCCT